ACAATATTTCACGAATAGTTGAGTGCATTCCAATCGTATTTGCTGATAAATGGACATTGGCACTGACTAAAACTTCGCTAACGCGTCGATTATTATACGCATAATTCAGCGAAGATTTCATATTGTAACCGCAATAAACTGGTGTAATTACTATATATATATGTAAAGTAATAGTTGCAAGATATTTTTAAACAGTCCTTTCCCGTTGCTATGGTGCATCTTTTGTAATTTTTTTTCTTGTGAAATTACAGCCACTCAAGTAGTCTCTCAGTCTCAGTTCATTCTACACCTCATAGATCAGCTTTGCCCCATTTTATTCCAAGTGATGCAGAACCACTATCAGAGTAAGTAAAGCTTTTGAGTTTTTACAAATTTAAATTTGTTGCCTTGCCAGAACTATTTGTTATTGGTTCAGAAACTTGTTAACTCTGTTTATTATTGAAAAGTTTCATCTTGTAAATGCTTTTTAATGCTCTAAAATATTCACCGTGTTGCCCTTTTAATTGTGTTCATTGAGCATAATACTAAATTTTGTAATGTATAAATGCAAGTTCAAAGGAGATGTATGTCCTTCCCAGTTTGTTGCCCTATATACCTAAGTCATTACTCTCCTGTATTAATTAATATTTTGGTGGTTAAAATCTCGTTTAAATACTTACTTTTGTGCAGTATACCAGTGTCAGGGGTTGAAAGCCTCAGTAGTGAGGGAGAACAAAGGAAGCCCATGACAGTAAAGTTTGAAGAAAGGCCAGAGGAACATCTGCCAGAAGAAGAACTCTGCAATGCAGCAGACATGAGGTATTTTCAATTGCATTGAATCTTTCCCTTCTTTCACATGGAGGGTCATGTTCATATTCAGTGTTTTTCTGTATCTTAAAGCTAAAACTAAACTGAATCATTGTAAATTATTATTCAAATTAAGTTGAAACGCATCTTACTCTCTCTTGTCAGGACTCTTTTTAACACTTCATTTTATTTTTAGTATAAATATCACATTCCCAGACAAAGAAGAGGAAGATGAAGAAGTGGAACCAGATCCCACTGATAAGACTTGGGAGCCTGATATCTCCCTTGAGTAAGGGACCTTTTAATTTGCTGTCTGTGAAAGATAAAAGAAAACAATAATAATTTGCATCTCATGATATGTTTTGGAAATAAAAGTAATTGCAGTAACGATAACTGGTCTTTAAAATGATATTGTTTTCAGGGAAAAATATTTCTTCATAAACTTATAAACTATATATATTGATTTGAGACATTCTTTTGTAGGCACAATAGAGATGCAGCCATCAGACAGCTGCCCATTGCATCTGATGAAGATTCCATTGAAATAGAAGAACTAGCAGATCCTCCTCCCCCCAAAACTGACCAGTTTCTGAAAGTCACTGATGCTGAAGAGCTGAGAGATGAGAAACTCTTCATTGGTTTTGAATGCAGTATTCGGGACCTTCTTCATCAACTGTTACCAACGTGCCATTGTGGAAAGCAATTTTTGCTGTCATTTCGAAAGAGTGGCACAGGCATGTTTGTGGAATGGGTGAGTAAGAGAGAGATGGTGAATTTGACTTTTTGTTCAAGGACAAAAATGTGAAGCTAATGATCCCCTTCACAAGACCGTTCTGTGGGATTGAATATTAAATAAACTAGAATAATTTACATTAAAACTACATATAAATAGTAATAAGTAAAATGTTAGAAAGAGTTAATTAGTTGTCTCTCACAAACATATCTATGACTTTCTTGTTCTTTTGCTAGTCATGTGAGGAAGGTCACCCTGGTGGGGTGTGGTGCAGTCAACCAAAATTGGATAGGGTACTAGCAGGGGACTTTCTGTGGGCCTCAAGTTTGTTGTTGAGTGGCAACAGTTACAACAAGGTGAAGCTCATGTTTGATTTTATGAACTGTGGCTATGTGAACCACACCACATATTTTGGCATCCAGAGAAACTTTGTAATCCCTGCCATTGATGCTGCATTTGAAAGGAAACAAAATGAAGTACTTGAAAGTGTTGGAGATAGGAATGTCATTGTGGCCGGTGAGGATTTTCATATTTATATTATGCTTTTGAAGTGTATCAAATCCAAGTAATCCACTTCTTAAGAGTTTGTGTGGGCCACCAAAAATTGATGTATGTTTTTTTACACAAGTCAAGAAAGATAATCACTCACATTCATGTGTAATTTCTGTGCTCTACATTACAGTTTTCAGTATTGTGATTTGTAAAGCTCTTAGAGTTTTAATACTAGGGGATTTTTTATTTTTCAGGCGATGCAAGAATGGACTCCCCTGGGTTTAGTGCAGAGTACTGTACTTATGTTGCCATGGACCATGAGACAAAAAGTGTGTTGGATGTGCAAATTGTCAATAAACGAGAGACTAATAATAAATCCCCTCTAATGGAAAAGGAGGGCTTGATAAGGACAATGGCTCATTTAAGAGGAAAAGGATTGAGAATAACAGAAGTCATAACTGACGCACATGTCGGCATTGCAGCTCACTTCAGTAAGTTGTGATGAAATTTTGAAAATAGTTTTGGGTTCTGCCTTAGACTACGTTTTTTAAACTGCTGTTAAATTTGTCTTACATAGAAACAGTGGTACATGAGAGTTTAATTTTTTTTTCCAATTTCACTTTAAGCATACAGGGTTATATTTTACAGTAACCTAGTATTCTAGTAATGTTTAAAGAATTATGTTTTGTTATTTATCATTTTGCAGGAAAAAATGAGGTTAACGTAAAGCATTCCTGGGATGTTTGGCATGGGGCAAAGAATCTAGGGAAGAAAATTGTGGCTGTAAGTTTTGGTTCACCTTATCAAAGATTTAAACTTATTAAAACTACTTAGAAAAGTTCTGTTTAAGTAGAATCATGAAAATATAAAACTGTACATTGATAATGGATGACAAGCTTTTTGCATCTTTCATACATTAAAACCTTTTTCTATCACGAAAACTTCAAGAAAATTTTATCTTTAATGCAGACATGAAAATGTAGAGATCTGTAACATAATTCAGGCTGGACAGACAAGAAATACAAGAGAACTTTTGCCCTGGAGTCGGGATGTGTGCAACCATTTTTGGCATTGTTCAAAAACCTGTGATGGATCACATATGAAATTTATGGTAAGTCTCACTTATGTCAATCAATAATATGCAAGTATAATAATGATTCTTTTTCACACAAGCCAACTTTAACATAAAATTGACAGTTTTGGGAGAACATTCCCCCTTATAATACATATATTCAAGTGGTGGCCCATGTAAAATGTAAGATTAATGTTTATGGTGACTTCTCTTGTCTCAGGCAAAGTGGAAGGGGGTGATACATCATGTCAGAAATCAGCACACTTGGTTGTTTGGTGATGGTGAAGGTTCAGGTGCTTGTGAACATGACCCCTTGTCAGAGGAAGAGGAACGGACAAAACAGTGGTTAAGCACCAGAACACAGGCATTTAATGCCCTCCTGGCCATTGTACAGAATCCTAAATTTTTGAACAACTTGCTGTATTATGTGAAATACAGGTAATTCAAAACGTGTATCTTTTATTATTTTTTAAAATTTTCACTTTTTTGTCGAGTTTTGTTTTGTTTGCCCACATATACTGAATACATGCTCAACTTTGGCAATGGCTGTGTCTAAAGCAGTGTTTTTTATGTTTTTTTTTACCAGAATAATTACAGGAGTATGTATCAGTGTCACTCATTTATATTATTTCAGACATACTGGTGCAATTGAAAATTTGAACTCGTTGGTCTTGATGTACTGCCCTAAAAGGCAATCATTCCGTCCACCTGCATTCCGTGCTCGCACTCGCCTGGCTATTTTAGATTACCAGCATCATAAGGACTTGCCTTTGAGAAGAAGTGAAGATGGAAATGTTATGTATGTTTTACTTTCATCTTTTCATTAATGAATAAATATTTAACTACACATGGTTTTTGGTAATTTAAAGTTAATGAAAAGTTAATTGATACTATAGGGGAGTATTTGGTTTTGGTTTGTGGGAATATTTCAACTTCAGACAAATGCATTTTTAAACCAATTTACATCCTGTCCTACAGAAGTCTTAAGTTAAATCTGGCAATAGGATTTATAACAAATTTTGTTGACAGGTGTGGAAGTCAGGTGTAGAAAGAGGTCATTTTGAACTCATTGAGAGCTATTTCTCACTATCAGTATACATCCCACAATATAAAACTTAAATGTGCAATTATAACTTATCAATTTTCCAGTTATAATCGTCGATGGAGCAAAGGAACAAAGGCTTGGACAGCTACTCCAAAACGAGAAGCGAAGACATATGCATATATAAAGGACATTACACTAGATGCAATTCACAGGCATCTCACTAGTGGTATTCCCCTACGCAGAGAGGCAGAGCTTGAGAGAGGAGACCCTAGACTGATTTCACCAACTCTTGCAGAACAAGCTCCTCCGCCTACAGCCGATATTGCTAAGGCTCAGCAGTCACGTTTTTAACAGATTGCCGAGGAAAATAAACTGTTCTGTGCCCTCACTATGTTGTGCACACTTAGGGACATATTATTTGCATTAACTAATGATTTGAGCTTGAACTCTGCATGGTGTGAGAGCCTACTTATAAAATTGGCCATAAGTAGTGGCAAAAGGGCAATTAAATTTGCTTGCAGTGTTATTCTATGGAATCCACCATAGTTGTTGTGGTAGATATGAAAAATGCATATTTTGAGATTATCTGCATTTGTAAGTTGCCAGACATTTGTTGAAAGGACATACATAATTATAATAATACTGTTCATTCAAATAAAGCAGTAATGATGGAAATTCTACTTTGATAATAAATAAAGTCTGTTTACAAGTAATATATATTTATTTTATGCAATTACTAAAAAAAAATCCACAAGTTGCAAAATTTAGACTTAGATTGTCATTATTTACAATGATAACTTGCATATACATGGGACATGTTTGCCACTGCATGTTGTAAATTTCCTTACACTAATTATTTACATTGTAAATTTCACAAAATGGGAATACAAATCACAACAAAGACAAGAAGTGCAGTATGATCTTAGAAATGCATAATTTGAATGCAAGTTCAGCAAGTTGCTCTCTTCGATATAGTAGAACTACTTAGTAAAATATATACAATAAATATGAAAAAACAAAATTGCACATCTTCAACAGAACACTCTAGTCTAAAAAACATCTGTAATAAAATCGTGATAAAAATGCACATTTCACCATTGACGTAAACAAATGCACATTTGCATAAAACAAGATGTTTATTGTAAAAAAAGTAGACTAGTACTAAAGAACAATTTTCCAATATCAGTGTCCTTTTTGAACAAAACTACTCCCATCTCCTGCCTACTGGTTTTTAGACTCGCCTCCAGGGGAGAAATCCTTTGTACTGTCCTGTAGGGGAGGGGAATTTGTCACGTATCTTCCAAACACAACAAGCAGGGATCACTCTGCGATCTCCCAAAGTGAGTTTGTGGTGCTGCCAACAAATGTACGCCCTATAGGCAGCATGCCGCATACTAGCGTTATCTTCTTCACCTTCCTCTCTGTCGTTATCTCCACCTTCATAGTCCCCCCTGAGTACTCTGTTGACAGCTAGGTTAAAAGTGTTCAGAATGTTGTATGTCATTATCTGGAAAAAACATGCAAGAGGTGAATTAATTCCAAATAAAATTATATGGATTCAATACACTTTACTTATTGTGGCAGTTTTGAATGGCACAGAATAAGTTCAACAGTTTGCTACAAGGAGGCACTGCAAAGAAAAAATTATTTCACCTTATATTCAAATGGTAAAAGCAAATCATATCACTTTCATTTATATGCTTACTGGGTCTTCACTCCTGCAGTTATGCTGCTGATTGCAGCAAACTCTTTCAGCCTCACTGGGCATCTCACGGCAATGTCCACACACACACCATGTTGGCCTACCACTCCTTGATGGCTGGGGATCTTGGGGAACCTCTCCACTTTTTTCCTTCAGGGAGTGTTCAACATCTATGCCAATAGCAGCCGACCTATCACACACCTCCACAATAATTTCTTCTAACTCTTCTCTGCTCACTGCAGACATCAACCCCTACAAAAAATTATATTAGGATGATTGTTAGTATACAAATAACACGTATGTATATGATGGCACGTATATGATTTTGATAGAAGTCAACTCCCACTTATCATCTTAAAAAGGCAAAGATAATGCATGTACCTGTACAGAAATAAATGAACAATAACCTGATGCATGTAAAAAGAACCCAGATGTTTTCTGTCTTACCTTCAGATACGCCTTTCTTTCATCCTGCATGCCTCTTATTGTTTGTACATCTTCAGAGGACAGAGACTTGGGCAGATGTCTTGTCAGCCCAACCTTCTTCCCACGACCACCACGTGAGCTGCTGCCTTGCTTACTTTGGGCAGTTTTCCTGGGTCTGCCAGGGCCTGTTTTCTTTCTTGGCCTCCCTACTGGTTTTTTGCCCTTCTTAGGCCTTACTGGGCTGCTTTCAGGTGTACTGTTGAAGTAAGCAAAGTGTCATAGTGTGATAAAAGAATTTAAATTGTAATAAAGTCTATACAAGTTATGCAGCAAATGTCAGCCATTTGAATAATTGAATATTTGAATAATATACATAAGCAACGTGTTCACATTTTTCACTTTATATGTTTCTCTTTGGAACAATTAGAACATAATGCTACAGTTTATGTATAATAAAGTATCAGCAAGCCTCTTGCCTTTACATACCTGCCGTGAGCTTTGCTGCTTCCACTTCCTTCCCCACCAGGTGGTGAAGGAGTTTTTGGTTCTTCTTCCTGAAAAAAAAAACGATGGATGAAACATTTAATGATACACTGTAACATGCAACTAAATACCCCACGATTTTATCTACACTGTACCAAGTAAATTTAATGACCATAAGTAAGTTAACCCTTACTCCAATAATTGTACCTGAAACACTCCCTCATACCTTCATATAAATGAACAATATAAGGCATTTTCTTGGAAACCTGAATAATGTTATTTCCTCAAAACTAGTTGCCACACGTACACGAACAACGGCTGTTTACATTGCCTTGTATCAAGTTGTCTGCCGTTTAAATTGTATCACTGTCCATTGAAAACGCCAACTATAAACAATTGACTTGCACGTTTACAAAGTTCACATTATTTGTCTACCATCATTAATCCGATTTACGGAGGTTTACGACACGATCTTGTTGGCTAACTGGACTTTGAGACTTTGACTCAACCCCTTTCATTCCCGAACGAATAGTAATAAAGTATACTATAGAACTCCATTATATAAGATTCATAAGATATATTCGTCTTATTACTCAAAATTCACTAATATCTAAAACGTGAGCAGTACTGGACTTTTCGTTATCAAACGCACTGTACAAAAACCTCGCAACTTACGTCTGAGCACTGCATCGCACCTCTACTTTCTTCTGCCGCCATTTGTTGTTTTGGTCTCGAATGAACGCGAGAATCCGCGTGACACCTAAACGTCATTGGCAACGGATGCACTTGTCGACCGGGAACAGGGCACCGAAAGCCATATTGACAAGCACAGATTTTAGTTTTACTACAATAACGGCCGTTTCAGTGGGAAAATGCAATAGAATATATTTCCAGGCGTTGTTTACAATGTATTTCTTGCGGAATTTTGAATCTCAAAGGAAGAGTTATTATTGCTTTAANTACTTTCTTCTGCCGCCATTTGTTGTTTTGGTCTCGAATGAACGCGAGAATCCGCGTGACACCTAAACGTCATTGGCAACGGATGCACTTGTCGACCGGGTACAGGGCACCGAAAGCCCTATTGACAAGCACAGATTTTAGTTTTACTACAATAACAGCCGTTTTAGTGGGAAAATGCAATAGAATATATTTCCAGGCGTTGTTTACAATGTATTTCTTGCGGAATTTTGAATCTCAAAGGAAGAGTTATTATTGCTTTAAGTTTAATTGTCATTAAATGAACAAAACACATAAAATGAATACTTATTTTAATTTGATCACATTACATATGAGCAGTATCAAGATATAAATATCAAGTATGGTGATACAAAAATGATTTTGTGCATCTTACAAAAGCATCCTATATATGAATAGTGTGTCATTAAATGGTTCCTAATAATAGTTTGCCATATATTACAGAGATGATTCAATTGCATTGCAAACAGTAACACTCATTTCATTTATGTTTTTAGCAAATACACTTCTGGAATTGTGTAAAGAGCTGCTGGCAGACCAAGAGGTCAGTTTTATCCTGAGTGAGGGAGAGTGCTGCCAGAACCACCCAGAACAAGACTTCCAAACACAGCAGATCCTGTGGAGCCAGTTATATGGAACAGTACAATTGTACAACAAATGTGGGTTCCAGGTAACATAAAGAATCAGTTTCCCCCATATGTATGAAAACTATAGAGGCAGGGTATATAAAGCAAGGAGATTGTATGGGACAATACTCTATCACTGAAGACGAATAAACAATGAAATGTTTAAAAGTGAATTGATATTTCAGCTCAGTTGTGATGTGTTATAATAATTTTTCCCATATGCATGGAAACTGTTACAGTACTAGTAGAGGTAGCATATACAGCAAGATTGTGGTAGACAATATGCCATAGCTGAAGAGACCAAGAGGTCATTGAAAATGTTTAAATGTGAATTTATATTTCAATGCAGATATGATGTGTTATAGATGATCACTGTTATTGTGAGGTCATTAAGGTGCATAGTGGAAATTTTATCACGTATTTATTATATACAGACACTTTCAGTCTGTTTATATTCTGATCACTGTGTCTGTCCAGTGTCATTGCCATAGTCAGCACTTTGTAACACTTCTGTTGTTTACCCTAAAACTGTGTTTGAATTTTAATTTCTGTAGCATCCAATCAGCATGATTGGACTATTTTATGATATTATTTTGTTATTTTTAGCAGTTTGGATATGATGCCACAGTATGTTCTGAGTATATCAAATTGAGGTAGCAATGTAGATATGTTTGTGTATGTTTGTCTGTCTGTGTTTCTGATTCTGAAATTTATTTTAATTACTAAATATAATTGTCATTTTGTGAATTTATGAATGTTAATAAGTTTACTGTTAAATGATTTGTAAGGTGCATGACAGTAGCCAGAAGGTTCATTGGTCTGATAGTTTGATGATGCCAAGATCCAATGGTTCAAAAGGTTCAATAGTCAGAAGGTTCATTGGTCTGATAGTTTGATGATGCCAAGATCCAATGGTTCAAAAGGTTCAATAGTCAGAAGGTTCATTGGTCTGATAGTTTGATGATGCCAAGATCCAATGGTTCAAAAGGTTCAATAGTCGGTATAGGTTCATTGGTCTGATAGTTTGATGATGCAAATGTCCAGTTGTTCCGAAGATTTGCTAGTGAGAAGGTTCACTTGCCTGAGATGTCATGGTTCAAAGATCGTAAAGCCCAAAGTATGAAAGGTATATAGTGTAGTATATCAATGATAGGATTTGTTAGAGGAAGAAAACATGAACTATTTAACACAATTGTTTTTATTCGGATTTCGTTTATTGTTGATGTCTGGCTGCATTGAAAATGAACATGTTTAAATAAATTGTTAACTGCTAATATTTGATACAACAAAATTTTAGACCTCTTACCTGTCTGACCTTGTAGCGCCTTTCTGCATCTACAGCTCATTTCATGGATAAAGCTTATCATTATGCAGTTCACATTGCTATTAATGATTAACTAAGATAGTTTATTCAGTCACTGGTATATAAATTAAAATTCACATATTAAGGAAATTGGATTGCTATTCGGGTAAAGTGTACAAAATATAAGATAACAATATAGTTACTACAAATTCCATTTTTTATGTTGTGAAAAAGAGAGACAGCAGATGGGTAAAAAATCTTTTAAAACCTTTTGAATCCTTTAAAACATGAAAGTCTACAGTAGCTTTATTAAGAAATTAAAAAGACCGTGTGCAGGATGGGTGTGGTCAGACATAATTGTTCATGTTTTTGCTGCTTATTTTTCTGGACAAATGGTACTTATAGAGGGGAGATCGAAACCAGTGATTTTGCTACATGTACATGTCACTTTCTATTGGACTATAAATTTAAACTGAATGCACTGCTCTATACACATCAAGGGAGTGTCATGGCATGCATTTTACCCATTCTTTTGATGGACCTGTGCTCTGGAAATGTTCTCTTGGGCTTCAATCAACTTGGAAAACATATCTGATGGCTGTCAAGGGCTTCTTGCTCTGTTACCTCTGAGGTGGGGTTTCCAATTGGAAATTTGTCTTCATTTAGAAGAGATGCCTCTTTGCCAAATGCCAAAATGAAAGGCGTCTGTAGTTCTGTATGCAAGGAGACATGGGTCAATGAACTCATCCCAGTTGTCTTGATGGGCATTTGCATACTTTGTGAGATAGTTGCAGATAGTCCTGTTGTAGTGTTCACATTGTCCATTCACCTGAGGGTGGCAGGCTGTTCTACGATGATTATTGATGCCAAGTTGCTGATATAATCTTGCATTTACTTGGTTACGGAATTTGCGTCCTTGGCCAGGAATTAGCACCTTGACACTAGCATAACAACACACAACTTTCATTATAGATATAGCTATAACTCAGGCTTTCTTGCTTGAAATTGCTTCTGCTTCTGGTCACTTTGTCAGGAAGTCTGTTAGAACAATAATGTACCTGTTTCCTCTTGGCGTTTTATTCAGTGGTCTGAGTAAGACCATTCCAAATTGGACAAAGGTCTGGTTAGGAAGTGGGATTGGATGTAGCGTAGATGGTGCCTTCGCAAGTACATTGGTGCGCTGGAAAAGGATAAATAAAACTTTATTAATTTTTCTTGTAAGAATGCAATATATGTACAATTATCCATTCACTTGAAAAACAGTGCTCAACCCATTGCTGGGGAACTTAAATAATACAAAAATGGCTATCATCTTTTCTTCTCCCAAAATATGTTGGAAGCTATGTAAATATTCATCTTACTACTTGTGGAATGTGAACTTCCATGTCAAAATGGTACTTATTTCATTTTTAGTGTAAACAATCAGCCCCTTTGGGAGTCAAGATGTCATTGGGGGAGGGAGTCAGATTTACATGTTACACCAGTTTTAAACATGTGATAGTTCAATGTGCTTTCCTTTTTTAAAAGAAAATAAAACCAACCAATCATTTGTAGTTTTTAATATAGTTGAGTCTTTCTCTACACATCAGTTATTCTTGCGAGTTCAATCTACACTTCTGGCAGACGTAAAATTGGTCCTCTTCTCTGATTAGATGTGGAAAGAGCTGCCATATGTTTCATACAGAAATGCATATTGCTTGATGATGAGATTTTCATGTCAAGAGGTTTTTTGCTCTGTCTGTTTTTTTGGTTGCTTGCTAGCATATAGAATTCGAGATTGGAGAGAAATGAAATCCAGTGAAGGGTCAGATTTTGAATGAGCACAGTAAATGATAATACATATAGCTCTGGTATGTAGTCATTTAGTGTCAGAAGTAGGAAAGAGCCAGAAAAAACTTTGATATGATGATAACTGTTATACAAAAATCTTTATCAAATTAGTTGTAGACCCTAAGGTACATTGGTCACTACATGTTCTAATATTCAATTTTTATGTACAGACACAGATGTGTCTGTACANGTTTGAAGAGACATACACAATGACCTTTTCAACTTCTGTTTTGTTGTATTTTTAGTCAGTGACTAAAGGTCATTGTAAGGCATATTATCATATACAACAATATCAACAGATTGCAACTGGGGGTCTCTGACAGCAAACCCTTTCTGCTGCATTTGGCACAGGCCTGCAATTGGTACAGATACACCAGTCTGGTGTAACATCTGGCTGAGGTACAGGGAATGGCTGCCTGTTATGTATGTTGTCTGTGTTTCTGGACTGACGCTTCTCAAAATAACATGTGTACACCATTCGATGCATTTGATGGAACTGACTTTATTGGTCTTATCACAAGTACATATCAATGTGCAGAGGCGCAGTGTTACGCGCCACACAATCTAGTCCCTTAGATACATAATACTGTCCACAGTGCCCAGGGATATTGTTGATTAGAATTTTCTTTATGTCCAATGCCAGTGATGGGTTTCTGTTGGCATTTTAACAACAGTGTCAGTTAGGACATCTTTTTCAACATTTATATCACACTTGGCTTAAAATAAATGCCAAAATATTAGATAAGGTCCTAAGATAAGTTGTTTAGAGGTCTACCTGTATTTTTAATTAACCCTGTAATGATTGTAAAACTACTCCAATTGTCTAGTGATGTAGTTATATGTGTCACCTTTACTGATTGGGTCTTAACCTCACATGGAAACATTACCAGTTTCCCCTACAAAAACTCTCATACAAGTGTCTTCTCATCTGCTCTTGACCCAAAACAATGCCATACAGGTCAACCTTGTTGGCTTAACAC